GCCCGGGACAGGACGTGAAATACGGACGTTTGCTCACCCTAGAATATGAAGCTCACTAGGGAGAAAGGGAGTTTTTCCTCTCCACTGTCGCTACAAGCATGCTCCTTAGATAGAAAACTTTGAATCAATTTGCCTGGATGATCTGGTTGAACTGTAAAGTGCCTTGAGATGAGGTGTGTTTGAATTGGCGCTACAGAAATAAACTGAACAGAATTGGAAAATCTGAATAACATTTCTAACAATTGACTCCTTTGGCTTCAATAGCTGAGTGACATGAGTTCATGGCTTAATGTTTAGATGTCTTCTTATAACTTGAAGCCTATATAATTGTTTTATACCACCAGCTGCAAACATTGAATGCTATATTTAAGGTTTTATTGTGAAAAATGACTATTTTACAGCTCATATATTTGCTTTAAATGAAGGTAATGTGTCAGAGATGATCATTGCAATAAAGGCTAGTTTTTCAAATCGATCATTTCATGTCATTTTTTATTATGAAACATAAGTGAAAAACAAAAAACAGAACAGATTTGGTAGGAAACAGCTGAGATCAGATTTTTAAGCCATATCTCCAACCTTTGTGTGTTGAAGTGAAGCATGGTTCCTCACAGTTGGCGCCTTCTTATCCCACTAATCATCTCTCTAATGGATAATAACTCAAGGGACATTTATTTTTGAGTTACATCGGCTGATTTATGTAGTAAAATAAATTCATAGAAAATTAAATACTGGAAAAATAGATTTTTTTTTCCCTTATGGTCACAGTGACTATTTCTGACCTAGTGCAGGAGAATCCGATGGCTTTTAAACGTGCATCTGCAACTGAAAAGACTAAAAAGTGCCTTACATGCACTTGGTATCATGCATCCAGACACTGCTGCTGTGTTTCTTTCACCCGACCATCAAAATGCCTCTATAGGGACACTGACGGGACGTCGTCTTGTTCGTCGGCTTTAAACGGACGCTAGTGAACGCCGCACTCTCGCCGTGCAGCTATTGACATGGAAGTTAGATAATTATACATGGAGACAGCGCCACGGGTTATAAAGTTGCATCAAGACTGAAAGCTGAACACCTGCTGACGTTTACATGTGGTCCTGGTGGTTTAGCAGGCGGGTGTGTCAGTGCTTCTAAATGTTGCGGTGTCATTTGTACATTTATCTCCATGTATTACGTGACATTTATGAAGTTTTTGAGTTCTCTAAATCAGTCTGTGGTCTCGATTCTCCCTTATCTATCTCGCCGGAGGGTAATTCCTCTGTGGCTGTGTGTAAATCCGCCCTGTGGGGTTGAGGATGAGCAGCCTGCGTCATCTGCTGTGTCCCGTTAGCGCACGCTACGGTACCCTCCGATTTGCTGAAACTGAACAGCTTCCCTGGACTGAATGTTCTGTTTGGGGATTGGGACCTTTCCTGGCCAACAGGGGGAGCCGAAGACATCGCCGCTGAGCCAGGCGTCGCCGCCGCTTCTTTTTTGACCTCGGGGGATTTTAAGAACTTCAGAAATCCCGGGAGCTTGGCTTCGCCTCCCGTTGGGGACTGAGCCGGTGAGCGCGAGGTGCCGGAGGAGAACTTCCCTTGAAGAGGAATGATCTGTTTGAGCTTCATCACGTTGTTGTTCCCCAGCAGAGAGCTGGGCCGCTTTGGCTTGCTGCCCTGCGTTTTGTCGTGGTGGTGCTGGTGCTGCATGTCCGCCTTGTGGTAGTCGGCGTCATGACGAGCTTCGGCCTGCAGCTCGGCCTGGCGGTGCAGCTCCTCTTCCTCCCGCCGCCGCCGGAGCTGCTGCTGGAAGTGATGCTGTGCCTGTAGCTCATGTTTCTGGAAGGAGAGACATTTAGTGGTAGAAAAAAAAACACCATTTAATAGGTTGAATAAAGAAAATCATCAAACAGTAAAGAAGACAGTTTTTATGATAATCTGTTACTTTAAACAGAATTTAACACTGAAATAAAATGCAGTGTTTATTAAATAAAAAAAAAAAGAAAATTTGGTGTTTTTTAAGTAGAGAACAACAGTCAGTTTTGTATATAGAAAATTTCCTGATTCACATATTTAATAAAACTGAACTGACCGTCATCTGTTTTAGGACCTCAGTTTATTTCTACTTTATAATTATTATATCAGGAGTAACCAATTAAAAATCAGCCGGGTTAAAATAAAGAAAATCATCAACCAGTAAAGGTCTGGAGACATTTTTAATTATAATCTGTTACTTTAAACAGAATGTAACACTGAAATAAAATGAGGTTTTTATGCATCCATGATATACATTGGATTTTTAAATAAAAAATATATTTTAAAAAATTGAAAAATCTTCCATATTAAAATCTAAAGTGTTTTTTTAAGTAGAGAACAACAATCGTTCAGTTTGGTTTATAGATAATTTCCTGATTCCTATATTTTCTCAAACACCTGAACTGATTGTTTGTTTTGTTTCTTTTTTCTGTCTTAATGTGGGCAGTGGGCTTTAGGCTGCCCTGCAAGGCTTTAAACCTGGGTTTAACCTGGGTTTTAAATGCAGAGATGGCAAAAGTACTCACTTTCCTTACTTGAGTAAAAGTAC